CATGGTCCATTGTATTGTTGATAATACATTGGATTACTATTAGTGGTTACATTGATTACTAATATATCTCCATACTCTACTTCAATATCACTTGTAAAGTTATATACATTACCATTACTTGATGTAGCAGCAGAAGCATCAACAGTTAGTACATGAATCAGTTCAGAAGAACGTTTTAAATAAATGTTAGGATAATGTTTGCTTGTATCCTGATTCTGTGTAATACCAATTATCCAGTTAGTAATAATACCATTACATGTGAACTGTATATCAGGAAAAGCTCTTGTATCACTGACTGGTATTACATTAGTAACTGATAGACTGTTTGTATTAAATGAACTGTCAATTGGAGGATAACTGCAACTGCTACCTATTGAAAATTAATTTAGATAATTTTTATTAAAACTAATGACATACTTAGCTTAGTTGGACGTATTAGTAGCATACTTGAAGGCACAGATAATATGTCATCTTCTTCTATTTCATCATTATTATCAATATCATCATCATCTATTCTTCCAATTTGACCAGTACCAGTTACTTTATAAAATCTAACAACACTTCTGTCATCAGGAGGTTGATATACTCCTAGTGTATAATCCTTATTCTTTTTCTTAATAGTTAAAGGAGTAGGTAGTGTATAATGATACAGTCCATTGGTAGTGAAATTGTGTGGAGATAGTCTAAGTTCAACACATACTGGGTCTTTATAATCACCTTCTTTTTCTCTCCATATCTCTATTCTAGGATATTGGTTCCTATTACCAGTTACAGTTCTAATGTCAACTCCAACTAATACTTCAGTCAGTTTACTATTTTTTTTACTACAATGGAACCACTTATCTTCTTCAGTGATGATCCATCTTGTTTCTACTGATTCTGCTAGTCCTGCAGTAGTTTGTCCATTGTTGTTAGTACTGCCAGTTTTAGCCTCCAGTAAACTTAGTTCCATAAATCCTTCAGTACTACAATCATTAGACTGTACTGTACCATTTAACAATAGCAACAATAGAGAAAGAAGAGAGAGAAGCATCTTGACTGTTATAAGAACACACCTACAATGCTATGAATATTATAACAGCCACACCTTAAATACCAGTAATTCTTCAATAACAACTATTGCATGCATCAGTGGAGTATCAATATTCACCAATAAACCAATCCTAGTTTACAATAATCATCATTAACTATAAAACTGATGCTTTATCTAGCTAATTTAAAGAATCAATATTATACACATTAAACACAATGTACAAGTATATAAACTGGCTACACAATCAATCAGTTCTTGTACATGTACTGTAAGTCGGTGTAGAGGGAGTGGCTTGTTTTTAAAGCTCCACCCAGTACAGTAACAGGATCCTCTTTATTAATCATTAGTAATTGTTTATCAGGTGAGGATAGACTTGATGATATATCTGAGAAACTTGGTCGGTTATGAGTATCAGGATTCCTATATAATACAATGATGAAATCACTATTACATATACTAATTGTGTGTGGGTGTGCATGAAAGCATGTGGTGGTTGTGTATGATTATAATAATCCACTCAGTTCACATTATTAGGATGTACACTCACTGCACTGTGTATAGTGCATTGGTATATAATGTCATTATGGACTATTAGTAATTTGACACCAGTAGGTCATGTTTCATGATGTTTGTGTTTGTTTTACAAATTATGCATGTCTATATATAGGTACTTTTTAAGTTACAGTATAATAAATACATACCAGCATTGTATCATTAGTTTATACATTGGTTTAGGACATCCTGGAGGAGGGGGTAATCTATAGCCTGAATCAACCAGTCTAATGCACTAAAATTAGTAAAATAAAATAAAATTTTAAAAGTTTGTAAGCATAATACCTCTTGATTAGTATATAGTTCAAATGGTTTGTATCCTATTGA